GTAAAGAGGTTGAGGTGAGGTATAAAAGTTGTATTTTTAGAATATAGCTGCCATGCTAAGATGCAGACATGAAAGCCAGACATACATATTCACTGGGAAAAAAAAAAAAAAAATAGCAGGTAATGTGTATTCGCATGCTTCTGAGGATCTAAAGGATTTCTCGTGCAACAATGGGTAGCATGCAGCTGCTAACTGAGAAGTCAGTGGTTTAAACCCAGCAGTAGATCCATAGAAGAAAAGACCTGGTGACATACTTCTGTAAAGATTACAGTAGAGGACACCCTATGGAGCAGTTCTGCTCTGTCCTATAGGGTCCACTGAGTCAGAATACACACAACAGCTCATGACAGCAACATGAAGATCTAAAGCATACAACTATATAGAGTGAAATGTGATGCCGGGCTTGGCTTTGTTGCTCACTCCCATAATCCCATGATGTTATTTCCGTTTCCATTTGACTTTGCAGGAATGTTCTGATCTGATTTCTGAAACTTGAAATCATGGACCAAGGAAATACTTCAAGAGTGACTGAATTTGTGTTGTACAGTCTTTCAGGTCCACGAGAGCTACAACTCTTCTATTTTACATTTTTCACCCTTTTCTATTTATCCATTTTGCTGGGAAACCTCCTCATTGTGCTCACAGTCCTCTCTGAACCTGCACTCCACACCCCCATGTACTTCCTGCTCAGCAACCTCTCCCTCATTGATGCCTGTCTATCCACTTTTGCCACTCCCAAAATGATTGCTGACTTCCTCATGGAGCATAAGACCATCTCCTTTAAGGGATGCATGTCCCAGATATTCTTTCTGCACGCCTTTGGTGGTGGTGAAATGATGCTCCTTGTGGCCATGGCATATGACAGGTATGTAGCCATATGTCACCCCCTTCAATATGCAGCCATCATGAGTGTACGTAAGTGCACAGGCCTTGTGGTGGGCTCCTGGCTTATTGGGGTCCTGCATTCAGTAAGCCAGTTGATCTTCACAGTAAATCTTCCCTTCTGTGGTCCGAATAAAGTGGACAGCTTTTTCTGCGACCTTCCCTTGGTTATTAAACTTGCCTGCACTGATACCTATATGCTTGATATACTGATGCTTTCAGATAGTGGACTAATGGCTATGATCTCCTTTGTGCTCTTGCTCATCTCCTATATGGTCATCCTGGTCACTGTGCGACGTCGATCCTCAGAGGGCATGGCCAAGGCCCGGGCCACCCTGACTGCCCATTTCACTGTGGTGACCCTCTTCTTTGGACCCTGTATCTTCATCTATGCCTGGCCTTTCAACAACTTCCCAGTGGATAAGGTTCTCTCAATATTATATACTGTTTTCACCCCTCTCTTAAACCCTTTGATCTACACATTAAGAAATAAGGAGGTAATATCAGCAATGCAGAAATTGAGGAGGCGAAAAGTAAGTTCGTAACAGTTTCTTGGTTTTCTCTTATGATAATGACAACTATAATAAAGGCACCCAGGCTATTTAAACTATTTATATTTGAACCAAGAAGTTAAAAAATTGAGATAATTTCTTGTATATGTAGTAATGGTAATTCTTGCAATATCTCTCACTACAAATTGCCCAAACTTAAGAACTAAATAGTAATAGCTTTGGTGAACCCATTAACTGAACCCAGAAACCACATAGATTCATGTACTTAACCATGTAAATGTAGCATATTTAAGCATGCTACAAATAGCAATACCTGCACCTACAATTACTGCTTTTTTTTTTCCTCTCAGTGTATTAAATTGAAGTTCAGGATTGCACCTCAAAGTGGTTTGGTAACTACACACAAAAATAGATCTCCCTATATGTAAATAGAAGTCTTTTCAACAACATTGCTAAATATATGCTTCTGTTCTATATATTCCTTTACTGCATGGTTGTGCATGAAATCTATACCACATGTGATATTTAAGGGTATGTATCAACTTGGCTGGGTCATGATTCCCAGTGGTTTAGCAATTATGGTGTAATTGTCCCCCTTGATGAGATCTAATATAGTCATCTGAATGATGAGGTCTTCTATGAGCAGCCAATCAGTAGATAGCAAGCTTCATTAGGGGTATATTCTGCTTCCAACGTATGTGGATGTTCTTGAAAACTTCTCTGGCTTTTTGCTCAATATGGATCCTGCACTTAGCTTGTTATCATCTGACCATGGTTCTTTGGACTTGAGCCATCAGCCTGCTATATTCCCTGCTGATCTTGGGATTCATTAGTCTACTTAGTCTGTCAACAAGCAGC